CGTCTTGTTATTTGAATGTGGTTACTTGACGATGTCATTGAAATCTGGAAGATCGGAATAAAATCTCAATGTTTGAGTTAGATTACCACTACAACAAAGAGGTAACAATTACGAGGTTCAAAAGAAAAGAAAAAATTCACCTTAATCGCTTGGAAGTGTGTAATTTACTCGATCTTGTCTAAGAGAAACAATCGACTTCACTGGTGCACCTTCAAATCAACTCTATTGATGGAATTGTTCGGAATCATGCGTCAAGTCTATGCATCTCTAACCCCGCGTTGGCTTCATCAATGCTTCAATTTTGGGTTGCTTCATCGATTTCGTGATCACCACTATTGATTGGCTGGATCCGATGCTTTTTCAAGTTAGCAAAAAAAGAAGAACGTCGATATCAAACTGTGAAAAGATCCGATGCTTCAAGTTAGCAAAAAGATCCGATGCTTCTGCTTCAATTTTGGGTCTGTTTGTTTCTAAAATATAAAAGCTTTGTTAACAACCAAATTAATAACTTAAAGATTTGATTTGTTATAGATCTATGCATATATTATCTTAAGTATATAAAGATTCTATCACAAAAAACAAAAAAAATTGTGGCTTATCACAGTTATATCTCATGACAGGTAGCATTTCGCGCAAAGATTGGTAGACGTTATGAGCTTCCACATAAAGGACTTATCCCCGAAGAATTTGGAGTGGTATGCTTTATATCACTATCCAAATTTTTTATGTATCTTTATGATGGAGATTTTCTTATAAAAAAAATACAGATTGCTAGATATAAAGGACAAGGCTTGCTGATCCTGGATTTCGTAATCCAAGATGGGTAGATGGCGAGCTTGTTATCCTCGATGGCAAGGTTCATCTCTCACTAAACTACAAAACCAACTTATCCATGATCCAAACTCAAATGTATAACATGTTTTGTGTGATGGGTTTGTTGAAATATGTTTTTGATGCAGTATGTAAAAGGAGGACCTGTTGTCGGATTTGTTTACTGGGCACCTGAATATCACTTTGTGATGTTCTTCAACCGCCTGAGACTTCAAGCCTAGTTTTTGTCTTCTCTCTGTACAATCGACCAAGGGTTTTCTTCGGAACGAAGGTCACCACGAGCCGGATGGAAACAACTCGATACTGACGGGGCGAACAACTAGAAATCTCGGATTTCGAAGGTTGTTCAAGAAAAATTCTTTAAGAAGAATGCTTTTGCTTTATTGATCAAGGGTGAAAATTTACAAGGCTGTTAGGGGACTTATATACTCGTCCGGTCACCTATGCCCTTCTAGGGGTCTTGAC